AGTGGAGCACCCGTCCATCAGCATCCCCTGGGCCACGGCAAGCCCCCGGGAGTGGAACACCCGTCCATCAGCCCCTGGGCCACGGCAAGCCCCCGGGAGAGTGGAGCACCCGTCCATCAGCCCCTGGGCCACGGCAAGCCCCCCGGGAGTGGAACACCCGTCCATCAGTCCCTGGGCCACGGCAAGCACCCCGGGGACACAGCACACATCCAACAGTCTTTTGGGCCACGGCACACAGAGCTCCTGGGGGGAGGGGCTTTACCTCAGCCGTGGGACTCCCCAAGAGCTAAGAAGAAAGTCAGGAACTATAAGACTCGGCCACTTTTGGTTAAATGGGAAGATGACTGCTGTCAGCCACAGAACTCTGTCTGCCTTCTAGAAAGTTCCATGGACTCCATCACCTGAAACACCTTTTCTTGGTCTCCACCTTTCCTGACTTTATTTGGTAGGAAATACAGTTTTCCATAGCCCACACTGGTCTGACCTCCAAAACTGACTGGAGTTGCTGCAGAGCAAAGAGCTGACCTCTCTCTTTCCCCTCCCCCCTTTTGCCAGCCATGAGCAACAGAAATGAGCAAGTGAGGGGAGAGACAGATGGACAAAGGCAGCCCAAGAAAGGCCCTTCTAAGCTTGCATTTCCCTCACAGCCCTCAGTGATGATGTGTTCACATCTTTGTGACAGGATGTTTATCAACCCTGCCTGCCGTGTGATGTTCTGACTTGGCAGATTGGGAAAGAGAACCAGGCAGCCACCGTAAGCTGCCATTGCTGAACAGCAAGCACACTGGGCAGGGGACCACAGCCCTGCTGTGGCCTTTTCCCCGTGCAGCCTCCCTCCAGCTGCAAAGACCCTGGGAAGAGCCATCAGGAGCAACAACTATCGGAGGAGCCGGGGCCCAGTGTCGCCCCACCCTCTTGCAGGCAATGGTCGAGGAGGGCTCACTCACAGGCACGCACTTCTGGTTTCCTTACACAACAGCGAGGCCCGCTGTAACACACACACACACACACACACACACACACACACACACACACACACACACACACACACACACACACACACACACAGGTCTGTCTACTCCAAAGGTCATTTCTAGCAGGCACGGGGAGCAGCAGGAGGCAGGGTGCTTTCTCTGAACATCAGGGCCAGCGGCTCCCTGCGGACAGGAAGGCACCTACCTCCATGGGCATCTCAGAGGGAGCTGAGCAGAGGGAGCCACTGCCACACAGCACCGCCAGGATGATTTCCCTCTCTTTGGCTTCCTTCAGGAGTGGCACTGGACAGGTGGCAGATCAAACAGGTTCAGGCAGCTGCCAGGGCAGACTCCTCCCTTCCAGGATGCAGGAAGGGTGGGGGCAAGGGAGGCCCTTGTCAGGGCACAGGGGCCACTCTCTCCCGCCCTGCGGCTTCCCTGGCTCCTGCCGCCCAGGCATGAGGCAGGCCTGGAGTGCTCACCCTATCCCCTTCCTCACAGGACAGCAAAGACCACATTCTGTTGACGTCGAGGGACTCTTCATGGGGGGCAGAGACGGAGGCCCAGGGCTTACAACAACCCTCAAACAAGCAAGCCTGACAGGCTAGGCTCCTCAAAAAATGGTATCTGATGTGTTTTGTGCTTGAAAATTCCCTTTCAGGTCTGGACCATTGTGTCACCTTGGCTCTCAGGATGGAGAGGCAGAAGGGTGCAGAGTTTGAGGCCAGCCTACGCAAAGTTAGCATGAACCTCCCTCAAAAAGAAAAAAGAAAAGAAAAAACCCTGCAGAAGAGCTGGGGGCACAACACTTGCCCAGCAAATGTGAAGCACTGGGTTTAAACCCCAGAATAGAAAAAAGCCTGGGCACTGCAGGGAATTGAGGAGGGGAGGAAAAGCTGTGCTTGGGGCACAGAGGCCCCGCCTCTCAAGGCTCAGGGTCTGACTGCTGAATACCTGCTTCCTGCCTCAGCTGAAATGCAGGCCAGTCTGATTTCAGTCAGCTACTCCGGGGAAGCATGTGCATTTCCACTGCTGTTGTAACTACAACAGACCAGGCAGCTCAAATACCACAAACAAGCGCTTCACTGTCCCACATGGTCTCGCTGGGCTATGATCAGGGCTGGGTCTTTTCTCAGGCTCCCGTCACAGCCAGCAATCCTGGTCCCACCCTGCCATCCTCCTCTCTCATTCATCTGCCTCTCGCTTCCATGTTCAGCACCCCCAGACCACTCTGGGCCCACAGGGGAAAACAGGACCCCGCCTCCCTGCTTTCACATCAGAGATTAGCAACACCCATTCCCCTCAGCAAGTGATGTGGCACGTGCGCACGTCAGGGGCTGGGGCAACCATCCCTCTTCACACTCTGCCTTTTCTATGGGGTAGGCACGGGGCTTCACAATGCTCTAGCCAGCTATGTCTGCTGATCTAGATCATTAGTGTTTTCCTCAGAAGAATTCCACCCTCCCAGTTGAAAGCAACTTGTCTGAAGATCCGGGATGCCCCAGTTCCCCAACTACCCCAGTGCTCACACAGTTGCATGCCCATGCCCAAACCCACTTCTGTGCCTCTTGGTGCCAATTCCTGGAATACATTCCAAAGGGTCCAGCCCCACGTTCACCTGCCATCATCTCATCCAGCCACTGCTTGTCTGGAAGACATTAGCTTTCTGCTCACTTCCTGTGGCAATGCTTCAGCTGACTATGGGTGTGATCAGCCTCTGCCTGGAGACCACAGGCTACAGACTCCACTTACCTCCTTAGACTATTTCAGAGGGACTGGAAAAGTCAAAAGAAATGTCTACCAGCCCAATACACTGAGAAAATCTTCTTAAACTGATGTTTCCACTATCAGGATTATGATTTCCTAACCAATCATGAAAATGAAAAGAAAAAAAATCAACATAAAAGTTCCTGAGAATTAAGTCTAAGCCAGGTGCTGGTGGCTCACACCTGTAATCCTAGCTATTCAGAGGGCTGAGATCTGAGGATCATGGTTCAAAGCAGGCAGGGAAATCTATGAAACTTCTATCTCCAATTAACCACCAGAAAACTAGAAGGAACTGTGGCTCAAGGTGCAAGAAATGCTAGCCTTGAGCAAAAGAGATCAGGGACGGGGCCCAAATCCTGAGTTCAAGCTCCTTGACTGACTGAAAAAAAAAAACCAGCCTAAAAGTTGTTTTTGTTTTGGGCCAGGCAGACATTTCCCACTAGAGCCAGACCTTCAACCGCTCCCTTTCCTTTTTTTGTGTCGTTATTTTTCAGGTAGGTCTCACGATTTTGGATGCATGCCACCCCACCAGCTTACTGGTTAAGATGTTGTGTATGAAGGGTATAACCCATGAACTTTTTGCCAAGGCTAAGCACCATTAAGTTGTGATCCTCCTGCCCTTAGCCTTCTGAGTAGCTGGGATTGTAAGTATGAATCACTACATCCAACTAGCTTAAAATTCCCTTAATGTTAGCATTTAATATGAGCATCCCAGGACACCTCAACAGTTTGGAGGGCACAGCTGTACTTCAGAGAACCTCGGATCATTCCCCAAACAGGAGAGGTTTTGCTGATGACAGCACTGGTCCACTTTACTACCATCAACAACAGGCCCGGATGCCCACTGTTCTGTCTTGAAAGAGTGAACACGAGAGCACACGCACACCTGCCCTGTACAGCCACCCTGAGGGTTGCCACACTGACTGCCACTGAGGATGCTCTGACTCAACAGGACCACTTGCATTTGTCACACACAAACACACTTCCAGTCACATCCAAAGAAAGTGTGAAAGTGTGAAAACGCAGCCAGAGCAGAGCACAATTTCCTTGCCCCCACGCCAAACCTCTAGCTCCCCTCCTGACTGACCCTGGTGCTCAGGCGTGAACATGGATGGCAGGTCAAGCAGATCAGGTGTGCCATGCAATCAGATTAGGCTGTTCTTACGTGTCAACAGCTTGTATAAGCATTGTTACCACGGGTTGTGAAAATGCCAAGAGATCTGTGGCCAACAGGAAGCTATCAAGCACTGACAGAGGGACAATTCGGCTACACCAAGTTGTATAACGATTTCCTCTATTGTCCCAGACATATCATCGTTTGGGATCAAATTAATCTGCACAAAGAAATGAATGAGAAAGGCCCAGAATTCAGTGGCGGTTAAGACATTGCTGGATGCATCTGTTTTGCCGGAGTCCTCTCCTTGAAGATGTGCTTGGACTTATGCAAGAAAGAGGGGAGCAGGCTGGCTTGCCCAGTGTGCCTTTCAAATAGAAAGCTCATTGAGGCCTGGAGAGGGACTGGGGGGGAGGTGGAGCGCCCACATACTCTAGTACTAAGGGCCTGGGGAGGAGCTACAGGGAAGCTCAGGGACCCAGCCAGGAGAATGACTACCAGCCAAGCTCTAGGGACAGGAGGGACTGCCAACTCCACTCCCACCTTGCCACAGATCCCTCTGAGACCTGGTGTGTGTGTGTGTGTGTGTCTTTCACGTGTTGGTCAGCCAGACCTCAATGACACCAACAGGCTTGACTCAGGTCCCCAAGCCATTGCTTTGCTGAACACGCAATAGGAAAAGCCTGAGGGGGGAGTGAGCATCTGAGCTGGGGCTCCCGGGGGTCGCCAATGCCAGTCCTGAGGAGAGGCGGGGAGGGGATGCGCGAGCGTCCGGGTGTTAGGGGACGGAGAGTGTGCCGAGCTTGCTGTCCACGAGGGTCAACCTCCGACGGC